GCCTATACTGTAACTCATTCAGCAATGCAATAATATATGGATTTAAGAGTAAGGACTTCAGACTGGCGTACAGAAGATTACTTCACTGTAAGATTCAGAATCCTACATGGGAAACAACTGAACTGAACAGTAGGACAAGCAAGAACATTGACATACCAACCATTGTCAGCCAAGGTGAAATGTATCAAAATGAACCAACTGAAACAATATCTAACCCAAGTCTATTCTGATTCAGGTTGATATAGATTTCTCATTTATTTTTACTTCTATGATCCAGAGTTACGTTTACTCTATCATATTAAAATAACTACAATATATCTCGTATATGCACAAGAAGCAAACAATGTAAAAAGCATTGATTTGTTCCCAAATATGGGCACAATAAAAAAATGTGAGTAAAAGTAGTTATCATTATAATCAAAAATGGAACTTCTGAATAAAAATGCTGATAATTTTGATAATCATACTCATATTACACCTTAATAGTACAATAACGTCATTTCTGCGGGCAATTTAGTGAAATATTGGACCAAGGGCCGCAGGCCCAAGGTCCAATATTTCACTATTTTGCCCGCAGAAATGACGTTATTACTATTATTACCACCGTTAATGCCCAGGGCTGAAATAGCAAATTTGAAATAGAAAATCTTACGCACTGAACGATATCACTTTTCCCGGGAAACATAGATGGGCGGATAATGTCATTATTGCCCGACTAAAGTCATTAACGCCCGACACAATATTGCTCACGTCAATATAGCAATTTAAATGCCTTCTCAACTAGTACTAAAACCCCTAGAACAGGCCCTGCAAGGTGGTAATAATGGAATTTCACAGATCTTTTTCTAGAATGCCCTGTTTAAAGCTTGTTTCTAACAAATTTACAGTGGTTTCATAATATTTACCAAATCTCACCAATCAAGCTTTATAGTCCAGTCAAAGTAACATTTGACCCAAAACTAATTGCAATAGTAATAAAATGTTGTTTTTCCAATTCATATAAATATATGAAATGACATACTAAAAATCTACCAAAATCTATTAAGTGGAACATGTATATATATAACTTTTATTGACATATTGTATCATAACATGATTACATTAGTCATAAACTACTCACTAAAACTACTATCTACTACTAAACTACTTACTAAAACTACATTTTTATAAAAAATATACATGATTTGATATATTTTTTACAGAAAGCATACAAGAAAGGCAAAATATTTTAAAGTGTGATGCACAAATTTTGCTGATTATTCTAAATTGTTAAATGATTGGTATATAAATTTACCAAGATGTCGTTGGAAGATGATATTATCATTAGAAATTATATTTATAAATAAATCGTTACTATTCAAGTCAAATGTTGGTAATATTTCAGGAATTTTACTGAAAAATATTTGCCTGTGTTGAGAATGCTTTGTACAATTTATGATAAAATGAAATTCATCCTCCACACATTTACATATATTACACAACCTTTCATTAACTGGTTTAGGTTTGGGTTTTATGTGTCTTCCAGATTCTATTTTTAACCGATGTGAACTTAACCTAAATCTACCTATTGCTAATCTATATTTTTTATTATCTAGTTTCAAATATGGTTCTAATTCAAAATCTTTCTTAAATAGCTTATATGTTCTTAATATAGGATATTGTAAAATATCATTTCTCCAATTATTTATAAATGCATTCTTTAGTTTCTTGTCAACCAAGTTTACTAAGTTGTCTGTATTTTGACTTTGGTCATCCCAATACTCTGTTAGTTCACATTTGTGAAGAATATCATAAACTTTTTCAGACCATGATTTAAACCCTAATTCATGTTTTTCTTGACCATATAAATAAGCTTGATTTAAAATATTAGATTCTGGTAGTTTTATAAGTCTTAACCAGTATTTTATCAAAGATAATTCAATTTTGATAGATAAGGGAAATCTACCGAGGTCACCATATACTGCAGGATTAGCTGTTTGAGTTTTGACTCCTAGAATAGATTTTAAAAAGGACAAATGCAATGTTTCAATAGATTTCATCTGTTTCTTATCATACCAAATCTCACACCCATAACAAAGTATTGGACTGACTAATGAATCAAAAAGGTGAAGAGCAACATCGGGTGGTACATCATTGAATTTCTTATACTGTTGTTTGATTTTGAATATTGCCTTTCGTGATTGTTCTTTAAGATAAGCAGTGTTAATATCAAATTTATTGTTATCAGTAAGAATAACACCGAGATATTTATATTTATTTACACGTTCAATTTCTTGATTATTAAAAGTGAAAGGATCTGAATATTTAGAGTTAAAAATCAGTACCTTTGTCTTAAGGGTGTTGACTATAAGTCTATTAATTTTACAGAAAGCAAAAAGTGAATCTAATAACAACTGAAGTCCATTGTGTGATTCTGAAACAAGTACAAGATCATCTGCCCATAGTAGATGATTAAAATTGGCATCATTCAAAGTAACACCACATCTGGGTGGTAATATTTCATTTAAGTCATCTATGAAATGATTGAATAAAAATGTACTTAAAACACTTCCTTGTAAAACTCCTATTTCAGTGTCAAAAGTTTCTGTGACTCCATTTTCTAACTTGAGACATGATTTAGATTTAGAGTACATGCTCTCTATAATCTTGTACATTTTAGTCTGTGGATGAATTCCAGATTTACATAGTTTATATAACAGTACCGAGCGATCTATATAATCAAACGCCTTCCTAAAGTCAATCATACATGTATACAATGGTTTCTTATGCTGCTTGAATTTGTTAATAAGTGTTTGCAAAATAAAAATATTATCAGTTGTACGTCTATTTTCTTTATAAGCACCCTGAAGTGGGTCTGGCGAATTTTGCACTTCAGCATTAAAGACAAGACGATTTTGTATAACTGAGTCAAATAAATTTCCTATACAGGCCAGTACATTAATGCCTCGATAATTATCAGCTTGAAAACGGCTGCCTTGTTTATAAAGTGCACTGAGCATACCAATGCTCCAGTCACTTGGATATTCTCCTTTTTCAAAAATAGCATTAAATAGTGATGTAAAATCAGAAATGAGAGATTTACAATTTTTAATAATATTAGATGGAATACCATCAATACCAGCTGATTTGTTTGTATTCACTCTTTTCAAAGCACGCTGGACTTCGGCTTGAGTAATTTTCATGTTGACAGTATCATGGCAAAGTTGTAAATTTTTATCTTCAGGGCAAACTTGATAATTTATAACGTACTGATTCATTTCCTTGAGTGCATTGTCATCAAAATATTCTATATTTGGGGGTTTAGATAGACTTTTAAAAAAGTTGAATAAATCTTTAGGTGGAACTGGCATCTGTTTAATTTTATTTCCTGGCATTGCGTTTATCAGTTTCCAGAAATCTGTAGAGTATTTGCTTTTATTCTGAATTAAACTATCAAGCATTCCTGCTTTAAACTTTCTCTTTTCTCGTTGTTTAGTTTGATTATACTGTTTGGTTAAACTATTTATAAGATCATCACTAAATTTGTGTTTTATTGCCTCATGTACTTGTTTCTTTAAGGACTTACACTCATCATTGAACCATGAATTGATGGGAAAGGTGTGCATTTTCTTAGCTTTTAATTGTTTAAATTGGAATGTGTTATTAGATGCATAATGAATTACGTTAAGGAGCTTATTTACAAGTTCATCAGATCCAGTATCATTACATCCAAGTTCAGTGTAAAAAGATGTCAAGAGATCAATGCTAGTATTATCAGTTAATTTTTGTTTAAATTCATTTTTCTTCTTATGATCCCATTTGTATGATTTATATGTTTTAATGTTCATGGGTTCTGTTTGAATGTTTGATGATTTACTTTGATTTTCAATATCCCTTTTTAATGATAGAGAAAAATGCAATGGTGCATGGTCAGATTCAACACGTCTATCATGCACTTTAAAATCAGAAAATAAGGGAATAATGTTTGATTGAGCAGCAACATAATCAATAACTGATTTTCCTAAGTTTATGTCTGTATTAGATTTATGGGTAACATTACGATAACATGTGAATTTCCCTAAATTTTTGTCCTGATAAAGACGACCATTAAGTATTTTCATATTAGCAGTTTTGCATAGTGATAAAAATTCTCTGCCATGAGTTTGAGAGACTGCCTTTACATTTTTATCCATAGAAATGCGATTGCTAACTAAAACCTCATTTACATCTTGCAAATTATATAAAGTGTCATCTAGCAGTATGGGAATATCACCATTACTGCCAGGTATATTAATGTTAGAATCAGACAACTGAGCAGTTCTAGCATTCATGTCTCCACATATTATAGTTCTTCCTAATGTTTGATAATAAGCTAAAGATTTTTCTAATATGTCAATATTACTACATCCAGTTACAAATTCATAAGAAGAACCTTTAAATGGTAAATAAACAAAGCATAAATATAAATCTTCTGTAATATTGAACTGATTGGAATTGAATTTTATCCATACAAAAAAGTCATGTGATTGTGATAGAATTTCAATACCATTTTTACCATAAACATCACTTATTAGCACAGCCAGCCCTCCAGAGTAGTGCCCCTTAAGTACATTTTTGGGGTTTCTGGCTAGATTATAGCAAGTGTAGTTTTCGAATGCAATTTCAGATTCTGGTGATAACCATGTCTCACACAATAATATAATTTGAAAATTATTGAACCATTTTTGGATATCTTCTTCTTCCTGTGTCCCAGATATATCATGTATTGCAAGATTACCTTGTGTTTTTAAAGTATTTAAGTTAGTATCAATATTTACATTATATACATCTTTTGAATTGTCATTAACCTTATATACATCTTTTGAACTGTCAAAAGTACTAATTGCACTATTAAGTGAGAGACTGTCAGCAAGTAAATGTACATCACACTGAGTATTTAAAACTTGGCACTGTGCCAGGTTTTGGTAGGGTTTACAGCCTGTGCATATGTTGTGGGACGTTTTCCATTCATGATGGAGAGCATAGCATCTACAAGTCGGCTACGGCCAGTAGGGTTGAAGTGGAGTCTGTCGTTAAAAAGGACACTCATACAGGGATTGTCAACAGTAGAATTATTTACTGCATTGATGTCCACAAACCCATGTCCTTTTCTTGTACAAAAGGAACGCATTTCCTTGTTAACATAGTCTATCTTGGTATTCCATTCTGCTACTATTTTAGGGTTGTCACTATCACCACGATGATGTATTCCACATAGGATAAGTTTAGTTTGTGGATGCTTATTGCTAGCTGTCAGTAACAGATTTTTTAGTTCATAAACCATGTCTTGTGGGTCATCTGTTTTGACATTGTTTGTGCCAAATCCAAGAAACTTGAAATCTGTTGACTGCTTAAGGTCTCCTTGTTGCATACTCTTTGTCGCAAAATCTATTGTACAACCACTGTAGATTGAGCCAGTGACAGATATGTTCTGGGGCGATTTCCGCTTCATTGATTCAGTTAGCTTCTTTCCATTACTGTCATACATTATATGTACTGAGGGCATTGGAGGGGCCTCTGTTGGTATGTTGCTTGTACGTGTAAACTGGCCAGGGCTAGGTTTAGTAGAAGGGGCTCGATTCTGCTCATCTGGATATGTGTTTCTGGGACTGGTGCGGTTCACTTTAGTAGGAGTGGCTCGGTTCAGTTTAGGCAAATGAGTATTTTTAGGACTGGTGCGGTTCAAGGATGAGTTTGATGATGTAGACTCAGTAGATGAATGAGGCCTAGGGCTGCGGTGTTGGTCTTTTTTATGGTTAATGATGCTCTGAGGGGCACTGCAACTAACTGTTTCACTTTCTACTTGCTTCAGCAGAGAATTCACTTTACGATATAGAGTCTCATTGTCTGTCTTTGATCCATGTAGTTCCTTAGTTAGAATTGACAATTTATTTTCATAGTTCAGTATTTCTTTCTCCAGATCCTGTACTTTCATCGCGCTGGTTGCATTTGTAATCTTGATCTCATCCAGGCGTTGCTTATCAGATATTTTAAGCCTGTTTTGAAGATCCAATATAGTAGCATTTTTCCTATCTATTTCCTGTGCATATTTCCTATCCATTGCTTCAAGCTTTTTCTCTGATTGTGTTATTTTATGTCTGAGTTTTGAGTTTTGTCTCAAGAGGTCGGTCTCTTTAGTGGTTTTTATTCCAGATTGAGAAATGGTTTCAGTAGGCTTAGAGGAAGTGTTATGTACAGCGGTAGATGGAGTGGAGATTGGCGTTGATGATGTATATTGAGATATATGTAGGTCTCCAGTAGCAGGCTGGGATGGGATTATCTCCACAGTTTTCCCATTGATTTGTGAGTCATTTTGTAAGTCCTGTTGGGTTTCTGGCACAATCAATGTTACGGGCTGCTTCAAAATGGATTGTGACACTTCCGAGGAAGAACAATCAATGTCCGAGAAGTAGGCCAGGCTATCCTCGCAGGCATCTATCTTAAGAGATGGAATCGTAGGTGTTATTTCCGATGGTAGAAAACCATCGAAACTCTCCTCGTCAGAAGTGCCGATTTGTGAGGTAACAGTTCCACTGAGAGGGATTGATGATTGTGAACTCTCTAGGTCTTCAATAGATTGTCTTATTAACTGGTAATCATTCTCCTTCCAGTCTTCCAGATTGTCTCCCTGTACTGAGACTATTCCTGAATCACAGATTCTGATGTTGATATGATCCCTTACTGTTATTAGTAGACCATATCTTATTCTTTTTGATGTAGCCTTCATTGACTTGTGCTTGTAAAAAGACTCGAATGCAGATATCCATGTTAATACCCTTTCAGTATAAAATACCAGACTTTTGCAATCTTCACCTAACTCTAAGATGCCTGAATTGTCTATATCTGTATATTTGAAGTCCTCATGGATTAGTTCTGGGATTCTTTTGAGAGTTTTCATAGTTTGCTTTCCTTTTTCTTACCTTTTAGATCAGGTGAAGAAAATGTCACTGGTGTGCCTGGGGATAACAGGGTACAGGCTCTGCGGGGCCTGTCAGGATTCATGGTCAAATTTATATATATGCACTATTTAGATGAATAGGATTATAAAGAATAAAAAGTCAGTAATCCTATTAGTTCCATGTATAGTCAGTCCATTAATCCATGTTGATAAACAAAGGGTTTGTTTTGGCTGTTCTATTTACCGTCAGTACATTTAAATAATTGTTAATCCATGTTAGATAACAATGCTTAATTTTGGCTCTTCCATTTACTCCCAGTTTAATTTGAATTATCTTTTTAAATCATGGTTTATGTGCTTTATTTTTTATTTTTTCCAAAAAATACCTTTAAGTATACAGTATACTGTTTTCTAAATATTTAGATACTATTACTTGACTTATTTTACTAACTCCATAACAGCTTAAACTTGTGAAAAATTAAAAGGTCTGTTGACCTAGTTTCAAATAAGTTTATTTCCTTTGTCTTTTAGATGTAATCCTTTTGTTTGAATATATCCTCCAAAATAATCCTACATAGTCTATTTAAACATATCCAAAGTGTTCTCTATATGTTCATATACAATACTGTGCTAATTAAAATATCTAATTAACTTTTATAAATGATGAAAATTTAGATAATCTGTGGAGTAAATTATGTAAGACTTTTCCTTATGGCGGCCATCTTGATTTTTTTTGTAAAAAAATCATTTTTGGTACCCCCTCCCCTTGAAGAACAGACCCCCCTAAGGAAAAAATTATTTTTAAAATGCCTGCACTTTTTTTAAAGTAATTTTACAATTTTTTGCTTGTAATAAGGTATCCCAATCTGTGTATCTCTTTACCTTTGATATTCAGAGTGAATAAGAATATTTTTAACCCTTATTCATCTGAAATTTTGCATTAAATGCGCACAGTAATTTTATGTGAACGCCATTATATTCCTAAATAGCGACTTAATCATGTATAAAAAAAATCCCAGTTTTACCTTATTATGTAATACATACATATACAAAGCAAGAGAATTTTGCATCTATTATTTGTTGAGAAAAAAAATCATAACTTTCGAAAAAAAATTAAAAAAAATTAGGGGTAGGCATTCATTCGCCTCACTTATTTTTAAATCACTGGGAGAATTTAGATCATTAACCCCTAAGGACTTTATAATGAAAGCATATATATATTATGTATGCCTTAAATATAATATAAATATATATAAAGTCATGATTTTTTAAAACAAATTGAAAAATAGGGGTAGGCCTTCATTTGTTTCACTTATTTTTAAATTACTAGGAGAATTGAGACCAATAACCCTTATGGACTTGAAAATGAAATCTTATTAATATTATATACACTATAAATATGATATAGGTAGCTGGGTAAGTAGCTGATTAAGTAGCTAAGTGGGTTGCTGATCAAGTTTGCACCATTGACTTAACATGAGGATATCATCAAGTCGACTTTTCGAGATTTCGAAACATCAAAGAATCTAAACTCGAAGTCAGATTTCAATTCTGATTTCAAAGATTTTCCAGTATTTTGACACCTCAAACATTGCATTAATTTAGAACTTTTTGTTTTGACCTATTTTCCATACAAATCTCAAAAGTAGGTTAAAATACCCTCTGACGGCAAGAGGCTACGGCTATTAGCATATTCTCGGCTATCTGTACATCGAACCTCAAAGAATATTATGAAAGCGTAGTTTTAGAATCGCAAAAATATGACCTTTGCTTTTCAAAATTGTGAATTCAAGTAGCTTTTGAGGCCCTCTTCTGTACTTAAATGTTTTCTTTTTCTTACTTTGTTCTGAACAAGTTTTGGTCCTTACCCTTTAGCACTAGTGCTTACATATTCTAGTCATAGTCTTATAGTTGTAATGCGGAATATGGCATATATTCATGGTTGTGCGACATTTGTGATACGGGTGAATATGCCATACTCACCTGCAGAATATGGCATATTCCACAGTAAATATGCGATACACTCAACTGCCTAATATGCCATATACAGCAGATGAGAACGTCATACAGAAAGCATCGATTTGATTGGCTTCATTTCGCGTTCTCATTGGTTAGTGTGTATGCCATATACCGCGGGTGAATCTGGCAAACACCGCAAGTGAATATGCCGTATTCGTTGCGGAATATGACATATATTTGTATCGTGTTTACCGCGTGACAATAGTAACTTTTACAATACCAATCAACATTGTGTCTAAATATATGAGTACAATGTAGAACAAGGCACAGGGTTAACAATATTGTACCTCATACATAGCAGTGTGGGCTTGTTTACCCTATTAGCAAGATGACCACCAAAATGTTTATCAGCTGCAGAACATCTTACCATGTAACATGAGTAAAGTTTTAAAGTTAATCCATGAAGTGGTTTTCAAGGAATGCCAATGACAAAATGAATCCAAAAACTTCCAAAATGGCTGCCATAATGCAAGATGGCCACTGAAAGGGGACCAGAATGCAAGATGGCTTCTGAATAGTTTATTAGCTCTAAAACTTCTTACCATGTAACATGTGAAAAATTTGAAATAAATATGTTGAGGGATTTCTTGGGGGCAAGATTTATCTAAAAACTTCCAAGATGGCCGCCAGAATGCAAGATGACCACTTAAAAGTTAATAAGCTCTAGAACTTCTTTCCATGTAACATTTGTGAAAATTTGAAGTGAATCCATTAAGTGGTTTTCCAGGAATCGTGATTTCAAGAAAAATGCAACACCACCCACCCGCCAAGCAGACAACAGTTTCCTACCTTTTTAGGTACGAGAAAATACACATCATATGATGTCATAATAAATGAGCAAATGAGCTAATTTACATATGAGCTAATTGCATATTTATTGCTTCATTATGATACAAATATGAATTTGAGTCGACGAATAATGAGCGGAATTTGCCTGATAATGTATTACATCTATTGACAATATTCAAATGGTTGCTATGGAAACTGGCATTTGACATTATTGGTAACAAATTTGAGACTCAGATACAAGTGAATTTGAAAAGGTTGGGTCATAAGTTTTACAACGGTACCTTATTTGTGCCTTTTCCTCTCATTTGTACAAATTTCATTTTCCGACCTTCATTCTAGTAGCCTTACCATACGGTATCAAAAAGTTTATTTCTCAAAATTCAATAAACCTATCATTTCAAGATTACAAAGAAATAATGAGTGTAATGTTGGTCCATCGTTATGAATTATAGGACATTTTCTAGAAGGTCCCATTAATATATTTATTTATTTATTTATTTATTTATTTATTTTCGTCTCACAGCAGATTTATTTTACAGATACTAATAGTACTAAAATGTCATAATAAAAACACTGCCCCAGCCAGTGCGGCTTATGAGAGACGTTTCATACATGTATATTAGAAGTATTGCACATATAGTTATGTCAAATGACTGTCGATCAATAATTTGTCACATAGGCTAAATCATTGCCCATATAGCATAAGATACAATGTAGTAGTTTCTAAAAAATAAATAAATACATTAATATTTACTAACTACATAATCTTTGTTTATCACATATTTGTTTGTCTGTGTTTGTACATAAGGAATACAGTTTTAGATACAATAAAAGCCATCTCTGGAGAAGTACTCAGGGTTATAAACTGGTCATTTTTACTTTTGTTTAGGAAGTCAGGGTTGCTGCTTTGAGCTTCTGATATCATAATGCTTCTTAAATCCTCATAGGCCGGACATTCTACAAGGAAATGTTGTTCATTTTCAATTTTATGATCATCACACATTTCACATGTCCTGTCTTCAAGGGGTGTCTTGGGTTTGGTGAATCTCCCAGTTTCTATTTTCAGTGGTAAAACTCCACATCTTAGTTTGGAGAATGCACTTCTTTGGTATCTAGGGGGGTTGATTTTTGTATAGCTTTCAGGCTTAAACTCACTTTTGATTGTTTTGTAAGTTCTTAGTTTATTATTTGGTCCTATTTTACTCAGTTCTTGTGTCCATTTTTCTGTATCAAACTTTGAGACTTGTTTTTTGAAGGTTGTCATTGGCGTTGATAAAGTAGTATTTCTATATTTTGTTGATATTGATTTTTTGACGTAAAATGTCCAATTTTTCATTCTATGGGTATCAGCTTGTTCATTTGACCAGTTGAATATTCTTTTGTTTATCCTTGAATTTGTCATTTTATCCAGCCTCTGCCATAGTCTTACTGTTTCAATATCTTGTCGTGATTCCATTGATAGCCATCCCATGTCTCCACGGGTGGCTAGAGTTGGTGTTGTTGTTTTAACTCCTAGGAAGAAACGACAGGCTCTGTTGAGAATGGTGTTAATTAGACCATATGGTTTGGTACCCCAAACACCTGCTCCATATAGTAGCACTGGAGCAACCATACTGTCAAACAGCTTGGTGTAGACATCATACTGGATTCCTCCAGTTTCTTTAAATTTGGTGTTGATTGAGCCAAGTGCTCTTCCTGCTGATTTAGCCAGGTGTCTCACTGTACTTGTCATGTCTAGGTGTTCGTTGAACCAGAGACCTAGGTATTTGTATTCACGTGTGTACTTCAACATTGTGTCTTCAAGCATAAAAACATGGTCTGATTGAGGTGTTGTACTTGCTCTGAAGTGTATAACTTTGGTTTTTGTATCATTAATAGTGAAGCGCCACTTATTGCACCATTGATGTAACTTGTCTAATATTGTTTGAAGGTTTTGGGCTGAATCCGAGATAAATACCACATCATCTGCATATAGTAGGATTGACACATTTTCGTCGTTACAGGGGACTCCCATGTTAAGCTCCTTGATTTCTTGGGCCATGTCATTGATGTAGATGTTGAAGAGGGTCGAAGAAATCTGGTCCCCCTGCCGAACGCCCGATAATATAGGGAAGTAGTTGGTTTGATGTTCATTTACCCTCACAGAGCACTTTGCATTAGCATACAGTGATTTTATAGCATAATACATGTTTCCTCGGACGCCTATTCTAAGTAATTTATAGAACAAACAGGCATGATTGACCCGATCAAAGGCTTGCTTGGCGTCCACGAAACATGCGAATGTATCGAGCCTCTGTATCTTCCTGTTGTGAATTATTGTATACAGGGAGTGTATATGGTCTATACAGCTTCGGAGTATCCTGAATCCATTTTGTTCATCTGCTAGGATATTGTTGTCTTCCAGCCAGCGACTAAGCCTTTTGTTAAGAACACCACTATAGATCTTGCTAGGTACAGATAGTAGTGTTATGCCTCTATAGTTGAGGGGGATACGCTGGTCATTGTTGCAGGTTTTATAGATGGGGTTGATTATGCCTTTTGTCCAGTCATCTGGTATTGTGCCTGTTCTGAAGCAATGTGATATGATTCTGTGTAGGATATCAACACATTTGGGATTTTTCAGAGTATTGGGTGGAATCAGGTCGCATCCCGCTGCTTTGTTGGATTTTGCTCTTTTCACTGCATCATTGACTTCTTTTCTAGTTATGTCGAGATTAAGTGGAGTTGCATCAGGCAGATTTGATTCAGATGTATCTGTAGTTGTGTTCTGGCTCGTTATGTCATTATATTCTTGTTCCATTCTATTTATATTGTCCTTAATTTTTGTCAAATGTGTTTCATCAAATTTACTATTGTTAGCATCACTGAATAACTTGGCAAATTCTTTCCTCCATTTTTCCAATACCTCGTGT